GATAATCCTGAACCGCACTTTCTTGGATTTCTCCGTAACCTTTGATATGCTTGCTGCTAAAAATCTTTTGATCTCAACCTTAAATATACGTGGTGGTCCAGCTTCGACAACCCTCTTCTGTAAAGGAATCCACCGATTCACAACCATCTGAGAGAATAAATTTTACCTCGACTCTGCCTTAAATGTGCGACCTCCATTCTGATACTAGACACTCTGTTCCTCGACGGCCCCAGAAGGGAACTAACCTTTCTGCATCCAATCCATTACATCGCCAAAAACACCTGTATGTTTCAACAAAGAGCATTTTTGTAGTACTGTTTCTGAGCTGATGAAAGCAATGGATTTCAGTGCTTCTTCCCAATTAATTCACCTCTGATAGAGATTATCATTCTCACTAAGGAGGCAGTGCTGGGCAAGGTAATGGGGCTGACAGTAGACATATCTCTTGGCCCTGATGAAATGCATCCCAGGATACTAAAAGAGGTGATGGGGGACATAGCAAATGCACTAGTAATTATTTACCAAAATTCACTGGACTCTGGGGTCATTTCCGCAGATTGAAAAACAGCCAATGTGATGTCACTGTTTAAAAAAGGAAGTCGACAAAAAGCAGGTAACTTTAGGCCAGTTAGCTTAACTTCGGCAGTGGGGAAGATGCTTGAATCTATCATTAAGGAAGAATTAGCAAGACATCTGGATATAAGTTGTCCCATTGGGAACACCCAGCATGGGTTCATGAAGGGTAGGTCATGTTTAGCTAATTTGGTGGAATTCTTTGAGGACATTACTTGCAATGTGGAAAATGGGGAACCTGTGGATGTGGTGTATCTGGATTTCCAGAAGGCATTTGACAAGGTGCCACACCAAAGGCTGCTACATAAGACAAAGTTGCATGGTATTACAGGTAATATATTGGCATGGATAGAGGTTTGGTTGACCAGTAAAAAACAAAGAGTCGGGGTAAATGGGTGTTTTTCTCGTTGGCGGTCAGTGGCTAGTAGTGTACCTCAGGTATCAGTGTTGGGACCACAATTGTTTACAACTTACATCGATGATTTGGAATTGGGGACAAAGTGTGGTGTGTCAAAATTTGCAGATGACACTAAGCAAGGTCGAGCAAAGTGTGCAGAAGACACTGAAAGTCTGCAGAGCGATATAGATAGTCTAAGTGAGTGGGCAAAGGTCTGGCAGATGGAGTACAATGTTGATAAGTGTGAGGTCATCGATGTTGGTAGGAATAACGCAAAATGGACTATGTTTTAAATGGTAAAAAATTGCAGCATGCTGCTGTGCAGAGGGACTTGAGTGACCTCGTGCATGAATCGCAAAAAGTAGGATTGCAGGTGCAGCAGATAATTAAAAAGGCAAATGGAATTTTGATGAAAATGATAGAAAATCAAAAGTCAGAAGCAGTGTCGTTGAGAAAAGATACAAGAGTCTGAAATAACCTTTCTGGTGGTCTAGCGGTTAGGATTTGGCGCTTTCACCGCCGTAGGCTGAGTTCCGTTTTCGGTCAGGGAATGGGAGTTCTATTCTGCTAGTTTATTGTGATGACTGATTTTCAGGAGCAGGAAAGAAGCTGTGGAGCCTGTAGATGGACTGTTTTGTTCCAGAAATTATTCAAGTTAACAGAAGTCAAAGAACTGCAGATGCTGAAAGTCTGAAACAGAAACAGGAATTGACCGAGAAACTCAGCAGGCCTGGCAGCATCTGCAGACAGAAAAAGAGGTAACATTTCAGGTCCACAGATCGTTAATTGGAACTAGGTCAGTTATGCATTTTAATAATATAATATTAGGCGAAATTATCAGCTTTATCTGTCAAATCGACATATTTATCAAAATTTCTCTCTCTGATTAGCCGACAATTGTTAATTGTTACAGTTCACAAAACAGCAACAAACAAAACTGCCAATCGGGTTAAGCTCAGGCAACTGGAGTGGGAGCAGAGGACTAATAATGCATTGAGTATAAACGTAAGAAGCAAGCCACCTCCACCGTCAGGAATCAAGCAACTAGCGCTATTTGCGAGACGTTCAGACAAGATGCCCTCAATTTAAGCCGTAGGCACCAGTGGGACTACGAACCACAGATATCCTGTCTATTAGAGAGGCGATTTCACCAACTAAGCCACAGCACCACACAGGCTGATTCTGTCCCCATCCATATGTTCATGTACTTAAAAACCCGATCACAGAAACTTGATGCTTTTTTTTTCTATCTCAATGTTATTCAGTGAGAATTTAAGTCAAACACCGCTTTTGTAAAGACGGACAGTTCACAGCTGAACATTTCCAGTTAAAATGCACAGAACGAGACAATCTCCTTTTTCACTGCTTTAAAATTTTCACAATTTAAACTGGCGAGATAAAGAGGATGTGTTCATCCTCTCTCTACCCATTAACCACGTTAATACACACAGACGAAACCTCGCAAACTGCATTCAATTCTATGCTCTCTGCTCGAGGAAAGATGAAAAGGTTTAGAAAAGGTTTACAAAGAAGTTGCCAGGGTTGAAGCAGTTGAGCTGGAGGGAGAGGCTGAATAAACCAAGGCTATTTACACTGGAGTGTAGGAGGCTGAGGGGTGACGTTATAGAAGTTAATAAAATCATGAAGGCCAGTGATAGGGTCTTTTTCCCAGGGTAGGGGAGTCCAAACTTGAGGTTATAGGTTTAAGTTCGAGGGTAAAGATTTTAAAGGGACGTAGGGTGTAATGTTTTGACACGCAGGATGGTGTGTGTATGGAATGAAGTGACACAGGAAATGGTGGAGGCTGGTATAAATACAACATTTAAAAGGCATCTGTATGGATCCATGTATAGGAAGGGTTTAGCGGGATATGGGCCAAATGTTGGCAAACAGGACTAGGTTAATTTTGGATATCTGGTCAGCATGGACGAGTTGGACCAAAGGCTCTGTTTCTGTGCTGAATATCTCTAGGACTCTATAATTGCTTTAAGTGTAGAAACGGTTCACTCAAACATCCTACCTGCTACACACCAGCGAGATCACACTTCGAAGGGGTCGATCAAATGCTCCAAGAGATCTAGTCAGTCTTCCCGTCTGCTCTCACACCAGCGAATTCACACGGGAGAGAAACCATGCATTTGTTCTGAGTGTGGGAAAGGATTCAATCAGTCATCCCACTTGCTGAGGCATCTTGGCAGCCTCACAGATGATAAATGTTTTAGTGGCCTTGACTGTAGTTGTTCATTTTTATCAAATATTATGTACACATTCTTTGGTGACTGGACAACTGATAACAAGACACTTACAGACACAGAGTGGAGTCACAAACTACACACCTGTAATGTTGAACTCTGTAAACAAATCTGTGCCAAGTAATGAATGGTTTACGATTTTTCCTTCACTATAAAGCCCTTTTTTTACGAAGGTGATAAATTTCAGAGAAAAATATTTCCATAACTGTTCAAAGAGGCAAAAGATGCATTAGGGGTAGGATGTGGAATGTGGCTAATTTAGATCTGGTAATGTTTAATGTGGCAGGTTTAATGAATTACATCAAGTTAAAAGATCTCCGAGAGAATAGTGCCCATCAAATAGTATATTTCAGAGTATGTTGGGTGGGTTTTGGGGGATGGGTATTTCAACTTGAAAAATACCCATTCATCCCGATTCTGTGTCTTCTGTTAATTAAACAATAGGAAATCCATGCTCATTTATTACCCAACACCGTCAACTCTACCTTGTGCTATGATTTTTTATATGACCCCTTTTTGAGTGCTATGGAAAATTCAAGTACACTTCATCTACGGGCTCCCTTTATGAACTCTGCTTTTAATATTAGCAAACAACTCTTGGAAAATTGTCAAGTGCAGATTTCCTTTCAGCAAACGATGTTGACGCAGTTTGACTGCGGTCATCTTTGGTGAATGTTCTGCTATTTCTTCCTTTACATTGTTCCCTCACTAACATGTGGCCTGTAGTCGTGGCCGAGTGGTTAAGGCGATGGATTTAAAATCCATTGGAGTTTCCCGCGCAGGTTCGAATCCTGCCGACTGCATTTCTGTCAAAACCAACTCAGGTTTTCTCAGGTCTGGTAGTTCGTTGACATTCAGGGAAGACACGTTCTGAACAAGACTCTCGCCGTATTCAAAACCTTTG